GATCAGTTTTTTTTAAAAATATCTCTTCAAGGGTTAATTTTACGGAAAAAAACACACAAAAAACCAGCAGAAAGAATATAAAATCCCCTACCGATATCACCCTCCCCTTCCTTTCCTAGCTTAATTTTTTGGTCGTAAAATTAACGATTTCATCAAAAATTAGCTTTCAAATGGCGCATTTTTGCTGATTTTTTTTTTGTTTTTTTTTTTTTAGTAACTTTGGTTCATATCTCCAGTCACGATTATCTGAGAAAATAAACTGTTAAGCTAATTGAAAAGAACGTAGAATGACCATTTAGAAAACATAAGTCAAAACTGTCAAAGCTTGGCTTAATCCTTTGAAACAGCGGTTTATGAGCTCCGCCCTAAAAATATGATTTTGTCGATCATTTTCCTTACAATCAAGAAAAAAAAACCCTAAAAATGTGACCTACTATTCTGCGGCGAAAACAAAACCAAAAAGTTCAAAAATTTTGAGCTCTAATGAGTAACAGGATAAAGCTTGCCGTCGCTTGCACTCAGGGTCGAGGCGTTTTTGAGAGAGTGGAGCGGTTGTCCCAATGCCCCAGGCGCTTATGAGAGGGGGACGCCGAAAAGTCGAAAGGGAAAAAGGACAAGGGAAAACAAAAAAGAGAAAAAAAATGCTCTCTTAAAATTCAAAATTTTCTGGAGAGGCCCCCTGCAACCTTCTCTCGGAGAACCCGGGGGGGGGGGGGGGAAGAGCCTATCCTTGCCTAAGAACTCACGGCACGATCCTGTAGTTGCAGTACAAAACTTGTACTTCGATGCCCGTCTTTGATTTTGCGGGATGTTAAGTTGGGTTCACTGACGAGTGTAATCTACTGACGCGGTTTTAAAGAACCCAAAATTATAGATCTCTCGGCGTGAACTCAACTTAATATTAAAATGCAAATTTCCTGAGCTGAACGCCCTTCTCCCTTAGTTAGGTATATACTGCCGTACTGGTGCCCATTAGAGCTCAAAATTTTTGACTCCAATTGAAAATGTTTTAACTTTTTGGTTTTGTTTTCGCCGCAGAATAGTATGGACCCAGCACTAGGTATATTGACACCTTCTCACATAGATTGGGTCCCGTTTATAGGGTCTTTTTTTTCTCTTTTTTTCTTGATTGTAAGGAAAATGGTCGACAAAATCACATTTTTAGGGCGGAGCTCATAAACCGCTGTTTCAAAGTATTAAGCCAAGCTTTGAAAGTTTTGACATAAGTTTTCTAAATGGTCATACTACGCTCTTTTCAATTAGCTTAACAGTTTTTTTTTTTTTCTCAGATAATCGTGACTGGAGATATGAACCAAAGTTTCTATAAAAATCAGCAGAAATGCGCCTTTTTGAAGCTACTTTTTGATGAAAACGTTAATTTTACGACCAAGAAATTAAGTTAGGAAAGGAAAGGAAGGGTAATTTCGGTAGGAAATTTTATGTTCTTTCTGCTGGTTTTTTTTTTTTTGCGTAAAATTAACCCTTAAGGAGATATTTCTAAAAAAACTGATCGCGTGCTTTTTCAATTTTGAAAAATTCAAAATGGCAGCGCCCTAAGCACCAGACAATTTTCCTAAAGTTATTATGGGCATTTTCGGACTTCTTTATTAACTAGGAATCGAAAAAAATTGATTCGGTTCAATAAAGGACAAACCAAAACCCGAAAGAGCGACGCCCAGAATGGCACAATTTGGGCCAGCGGGGATTTTTCTGAAACCGGGCCCAAACGATACCTTATGATACCCTAAAACTCTGGTAAAAATTTTAGCTTGAGTGTACGCTCGGTTTTTGAGAAATGAGGGGGCAAAGTTGCCAAATCGCCATCATTCTGGACAGCATTTCTACAGCTAAAAGACGGAAAAAATGGACGAAAAAGTTACAACTTTGATGGATTTCGGCCATAAATGTTCTCATTGGGCCCCCAAGCATTTAACTGTGTTCAGTTTCAAAAATGTTGGTCGCGCAGTGGTCCAAAATGGGGAGAAATCGTCGACAAATCAGGATTCTTTGTCAAATTTTAAGAAATGGAAGTAAAATTGTTGGTCTGCTGCGGTTTTCATGGATAACAATGTTCTTATGGGTCATTAAAGCATGAAATTGTGTTCAGCTTCACAGATTTACATCGCACAGTGGTCAAAAATGGGGGAATTAGTGGACAAATTAAGATCCTCCGTCAAACTTTTTATAAATGAAGGGAAACTGTTGGTCTCCAGTAGACTTTAGATCCCGAAAAAATTCTTTAAATTCTTTTTTTGACTATTTAAATCTTTTTTTAATTTTTTCTCTCCATTTTTCCTTCTTTTTTTTAAATTTCTGAAAGTTTGCATATTTTATTGAGATAATGCTACCAAGTCTATTCTATAACAACGTTCCATAAACAATACGGTCTGACATGTTGTAATAATTAAAAAAATTAAAAACATAAATTTTTCCGGGGTCTAAAGTCTACTGGGGACCAACAATTTCCCTTCATTTTTAAAAAGTTTGACGGAGGATCTTAATTTGTCCACTAATTCCCCCATTTTTGACCACTGTGCTATGTAAATTTGTGAAGCTGAACACAATTTCATGCATTGATGACCCATAAGAACATTGTTATCCATGAAAACCGCAGCAGACCGACAATTTTACTTCCATTTCTTAAAATTTGACAAAGAATCCTGATTTGTCGACGATTTCTCCTCATTTTGGACCACTGCGCGACCAAAATTTTTGAAACTGAACACAGTTAAATGCTTGGGGGCCCAATGAGAACATTTATAGCCGAAATCCATCAAAGTTGTAACTTTTTCGTCCATTTTTTCCGTCTTTTAGCTGTAGAAATGCTGTCCAGAATGATGGCAATTTGGCAACTTTGCCCCCTCATTTCTCAAAAACCGAGCGTTTACTCAAGCTAAAATTTTTACCAGAGTTTTAGGGTATCATAAGGTATCGTTTGGGCCCGGTTTCAGAAAAATCCCCGCTGGCCCAAATTGTGCCAAAAAACGGTCGTTTTTGGCGTCGCTCTTTGTTGTGCGGTGTGAGCAAACGGTTCTAGCATATATCATACACAACGACTAAAATGAGTATTCTCAAATAATCGTTTTAGTGTGTTTTCCGAAGAAAATACACTATTGCATTCTCCCATGATGTCGGACCCAGGCCTAAAACCTTGTGAAGAGCAGGGATCACGGGTCGTAGATCACGAAAATATATGAAATTCAAATTCACATGGTTGGTAGATACGTTTGACAGAGTGGCCATTCGTATCTTTTTTTTTTTTTTTTTTTTTTTTTTTTTTTTTTTTTTTTTNTTTTTTTTTTCTTCAGGGACATTCCCCATAGGCCATTCGTATCTAGAGTCCCTTTTCGTATCTTACTGTGCCGCATTTTGATTGATCAACGAGTTTTTAGGCTTCATGATGCTCTTACGGCCGTAAATAAACAAGCAAGATGGCGGCTCACCGTAACATTGCTCAGAAGCTAAAATTTGACAAAAATTTCAATTATACGACAGTAACAATTTAAACTAGCATATCCACGAGTATGGAACACATGAAAACCCTATTAAATTGCCTTTCGCCTTTATCACAGGAGGATGTAAGATTTATACCCTCAAACTTGCTTGCTGATAACAGCCATCTTGTTTGTTTACTTACGGCCGTAAGAACATCAGGTCAGCCTATTTTCACGCGACCAATGAAAAACCGGCACAGAAATGGCCATACTCTGTCCCTAAAGGTACTCTATGTCCGGGAAGAAGAAATCAATTGTATATTCGAATAATTTAACAGCAATAACCCCTCCATCCTCAGTTTACTCTGAAGATAGACAATAATAACATGATAAACTTTCTACACATGACTTTGCATCATGTGAACAACAAGGTGATGTGTAAATGGTACCAGAAACCCACGGTTTCGGGCCGCAATGTTTTTTAATGTTGCCATTGTGATTTCCGTGTCATTACCATACC